CACCTTGAATAGCTATTCTCATGGGAACAAGGGCATCATCCAAATCAATAACAGCACTTGGAAATCCAGAAGTTGATTCATATTTGGTTCGGGGTGTTGCAGTTACTGCAGCCAGTGGCCTTTTGAAATATGTTGTCCTGGAATAATGTGATGTAATTATTGACGATACCAGGCCGTTTAACTAGAAGAATTGGAGCAGGTGTTCACCACGGAGCTCCCAGACGTGTACACTGATCGTTCCGTCTTATGCACCTCTCCGAGCCAACTTTTTGTATTGATGTATCTCATCAGAATCGTTATAGGTCCTAGTGGTATATATTTCATCACTACCTGCAAGCTGTCGTAAAATGGCTCAATCTGTCCCCATTTTGATGATGGGTGCTCGGAGGATGTGGCTGGCAGTGATGACAACAGTGAAGACAAGAGTATAGAGCTGAATGTGTGAACTGGGCACGAGTAAGTCTTTGTACCTGTACATAGAAAAAAAAAATTCTGAATATTACACGTGAAGTTAGAGTTTGGCCTGATTGGAAAGTACATCTAAGTACCCTATTGAATCCCATAATAATAATAATAATAATAATCCTTCTACTTGATATAGCGCTTTATCACATCTCGGACACGTTTTAAAGCGCTTCACAGAATATACTGTAAAGTGTCGTGACTGTATATTTTGTGGGCGAAACACAGCAGCCAATTGCGCACAGAAAGCGTCCCCACAAACAGTCGTGAAATGAGTGATCAAATTAAAAAAAAAAGGAATCATTATTATCCCCAGAAAGCGACCCGCTGATCAACTAACAACCGGGCTCCTACTTTTTGCTAAGCAAACAGAGGAGTGTGGAGTAAGGAAAGGCGGCTCAGGGCAGCTGCTCCTTGAGGTTTTGTGGGCAAGTGTGGCAGCCAACTTGCACACAGTAATGTTCCACAAACAGCCATGGAGTTCAAGACCTTTTTAAATGGTATCTCAAATCAGTGCTTTGAAATATATCCGTCCATTACAATATATCGGTGAAGTGTTTTTGTGAGTAAATCTATTTAACATAATAAGGTTATTTTTCTCCGACATTCTGAAGCACTGCGTGGCCTGTTTCAATGGTCTTTGCAAAGATAATTTGATGCTTTCCACTCGTTTGTTGTTGATTGTTGTGTTGTAACTCCATTTGCAGTAGACTGAAAACGCACCGACTCTTGCATAGGTGCTTTAGTGTTTCACTGAATTCCTTGTGTTCATTGCACACTTTCCGGGACAGAAAAGTAAAGATTGCCTTTCTTGCAAATCCTGCTCCGTGCAATGATGGGGCCCCACAGGTTCACGACAAAGGGTTTCCTAAATGGAGAGTTCTTGATTAATGTCCTGGGGGAAAGAAAGTGTTAACTGAAGAACAATTGCTGCTGCAGAGGGAAGAGAAGGAAATTCAATGGGTTCGAATTCATTTCAGGTTACTGCCCTGTCCTTTCCACCAGCCAATTACAGAGAAACAATTCACTTTGCACATGGCCTTGAAGAGAAAATGGCATCAGGAATAATTACGTTGGAATAATGCAATTCTGTAGAAATAACCATCACAAATGGATTCCGATATACCTCTGGACTGGCACAGAAACTGCCGTCTTCTTCTGAAAAGCGCAATTGACATCATAATCAAAAACTGTCAACCCACGGATTCCACTCAGCGTCAGTGCATCTGCTCACACTTCAACCATGTCAAAACGCACGAACGGAAGTGTCATTACTTGCTCTGTCACCGGCTATTCGCATAACTTCTTCCTCGGAGCTACAGCATTTGTGTTTATTTTTCTGCCACGTAACGTAGATCTCTTTTGGAGTCTACTGAACGCTTAAACTGGAAGATACGTTTGTCAAAGGAAGTCCATGAGGAATATAAAGGGTTGGTCCCTGCGTTCATCAAGGTGCTGCTTACATGTGAGCATCATAACATCCACGTGCCTACTTTCTAAATATAAATGTGTATATATATATACACATATGTGTGTTTCATCAATGAATGTGCTGTCTCCTTTTATATAAAGCTTCAGCTGTTCAAAACGATGCCCCTACACAATAGGAGACCACTTCTACTTATTCTACTTACAGTGATTAATACAACGAGGTATTAGTTTTATATAAATATAGAGGTCTGGGGAATTCTGCTACCCGTTCCCACAGAAAAAAGAGATCAGTTTGTGTTTCGAATTTCGGCAATAAAGTCACAATCCAGTCTTTTCTGCATCTAATTACATATTATATCACAAAAGGACATGTGCATGTTCCGAGTAATGTAAGAGTAAGTGGTGTAAAAAGAACTACGACTGCAAAAGGTAGTGGAAGGTTATTGAATAGAATTGTTTGGGTGTACTATTATACATGTATGGCGGTTAATAGCAGGGTAGGAATTTTTTAAAACTTGGTTCGAGGTGTGCTAAAATTAGGTGTGTTTGTAAATATTCTTCCCATCTCTCAGTAAGTTGTGTGATATTTGTTCCGATTTGTTGGGAGTTGCTGAAACCTTGTGGTAAGTCATAAATGGGCACAAACGCAGGTTCATTTGCAGGGCTACGAGAACAGGATTTTTTTTTTTAAAAAAAAGATCGCAAACAATTACAAGAAGAAAGAGCAATGAATCAGTCTCCACCACTGTTAGGCGCTCTGATATATACACTGCCCTGCCTGGGGAGCGCTAATTTCAACACATTGGAATGTGTGTGCGCTGTCACGTTGGCAGCCATTTGGTAATTATTAATCCCTCGACGACTCCAGGAAATCAGTGCAGTAAAATTCACGGACTTTCAGAAGCAGTTTAACATTCCCCTCTTAGATCACGAGTCACCCCTTAGGATTTCTAGGATTGTGCAGGGACACGGGACGTTCTGCTCTTCTGCTAACAAGTCGTAAGATGAGCGCGTTAGATCAGGCCGTTCAATGGGAGGCCCTCGGGAAGGTGTCAGACGGGGTTAAATACTTCTACAGCAGATCGGGGTGAACGTTGTCTGCGCCAAATCGGAATCTAATGTAAGGCGGCAAATTATTAAACGTCGGCAGCAATTTGGTGCTTACTAATCCCATGAAGACTTGCGTATTCCGCTTCCAACTTTCGGGGTCTCGTTCCGTTTAGCTGACCATTTAATTACCAGTTGACTTCACTGGAAATTGACGTATTTCGAGGAGCTAACACACTTATCTTGGATTGCGAATCTCCTCGTGAGGCGAGATCCTTCAAGAATCATTTGATATCAGTCGCTTTATTTACCTCTGCTCCAGTGCTGTTCGCCCATGCCAGCATTCGTACGTAGGACCATCTTAAACCAAACTATTACGTAAAAAGCCAGGGATATTGATGGTTAAAACCAGGCTGTGGATCACACCTTTCGCTGACGGGAACATCAATATTCAGTAAAAATTTCCCTCGACAATTAGGACGCAAGGGACCCGGAAATTTAATTTGATCTTAGGCTGTAAGAACACTTTATCTGAAAACTTAAAGCCGTTTCAGAATTGTGAAGCATTCTTAGATTTAGTTTGGCAGTGGGTCTCATTCCCCATGTTACTTAAAGAGAAAAATAACCGCTTCTAAATTAAGACTGATGTGAAGAATCTTTCATGCTCGTGTGCGATCGTATTTGTAATTTGTAATGAACCTTACAGGCTAAAACTGGGTGGAATTTACAGAATCCATATGCCTCATTTTACTCGGGTACTGCAACCGGCCTCTGAAAAGTTCGCCGTGCGTTCCTTTGACGTATTTTAGGACAGCGGCAAAATATCCAGAGATTTGCCGCGCAGACACCAAAAGTTGAACGCTCAAGTCGGTCGTGGATGACAAATCGGAAATGTTTTCCGATCTCCCATGGGAAATGTTTTTCAATTTCCCCGTAGCAATTTTCACATAGCTTTGCCCAATGCCAAAACGGTCTTCTCTACGACTCTTAACTATTTTGTTATACGCCTTACGTTTAAAATGCTGCTCATGCACTTTTTGTCGAGCGAGAGGACGACCCAGGATATGTTGTGTCGGGTCTTATCTCTAATAGGAACACTTGGGTGTGACCCATCGCGCCCAATAATAATAATAATAATAATAATAATAATGCACACACATTCTTTATTCTGTGAGTGTTAGTTACACATCATTTACACTAAAAACAAGTACGTTGCAAGACGAGAGAGACAAAGCGAGAGAGAGAGAGAAACGTGCAGAAAGTAGCCTGATGAATTTTAGCCACTTTGCCTTTTAATGCAGCTTGTGCACATTTTCCCGTGAGATTGCGCGGATAGACAATGGTATCAGGAATGTCTGGCGTACCCCAAATCTACCTAAGAAAGACCCTCCTTTCAAGTTGCTTTCTTTCATTCCTTAGGGTTCACGCACAGGAAAAGTGCAATAGCTTTTGAACTGAATTCACGAATATAACAGCCATATTAACCTTATGCCAATTGAACACCACCGTATAGTTACAGTACACTGTTCTCCAATACCGTGCTATGAAGGAGAGACACGTCAGATTGGCAGGATTCAAATGAAACGCAGCCGTTTCCATCAGAACATTTGCCACAATCTATTCCTACCGTTTAATCTGCGTCGTGGAGGCGAGGCAGTGGAGTGTCAGCTCAAAAGTGGAGAAATTGCTCGATTTCTATTGCACATTTTATCAGGCAGAATTAAAATTTAGCACAAAGTAACTGGCTTCAGAAATAAAGCAGACACGTGTGCCTATTCATGACAGCCAAATTCAATATAGTCGCTGGTGTTTTTTAATTAAATGTGGATATAATATGCATGAGTTTGTGATTGTCTGTAATCCAGGTACCCCTCATTTATTTCTTGACCAGAGTAGAATAAAGGTATTGGAAGATTATTTTATTATAGCTTTTTAATAATATGCCCTCCCTTCTCGTCTTGCTTTTTGATTCATTCTCTAAGGTTCGCACATAACAAAAATGTCATAACGTTGAACTGATGTCTCCAAGTCTAATTGCCATTTGCCATATCCCTACGCAGGCAAAGGTCCAGAAATGCTCTATGCTGGACAAAACCTGAACGATAATGAGTGGCACACAGTCCGTGTGGTTCGTCGAGGAAAGAGCCTGAAGCTGATAGTGGACGAGTTTCAAGCTGTCGAAGGTAAACGATGGCGCTTTTAACCTTTACCGGTTTGCGGTGTCGACAGCTTTCAGTCTGCGTTGCTCTGGACAGTTGCATTAACTTACCCGCAGATAACTCTCGCGGCACGTGACAGCGGGTCCGATTTCAAACGCGTTCGAAGACAATAGTAATCCTTTGCCTCTGGTACGTGAGGAGGATGTTTCCGAGCGCTTCGCAAGGATTTACTGTTAAAGAGTCGCGACTGTGCGCAGGCAAACAAATCGTGCTTGAATGATGTGATTTGAGGATTATTCATTGATAGACTCGGTTATAGATTCCGCTGTACAGGTACGCTTTCGCTTTTGCTTCCCTCTCTCTTTCTCTCGAGTGTTCTTGCTCTCTCTCTCTCTCTCTCTCTCTCACTCTCTCACTCGCTCTCTCGGTCTCTCTCTCTCTTTGGAAATTTGGATCATCAACCCTTTGCCCCGTTTGCTGAGCGAACAAGAACGCACGAACCGATTCATACCCGTTCCAACGGTTCCCCCGGCAGAATTTCTAACTCAGGCCAACGAGTAGTGTTAAAAAAAAAGATACGGTGAACTAAATACCTGGTCGTACAACAATAGCAATTTATATGCAATTATGTGGCACCCCCTCACTCAGGGTAACGTCCCAGAAAGAAGGGGAAAGAGGTGGAGGGATAGAGGAAGAGTGTTGTAGAGTTTGGGGGGGGTTCAGTGGCTGAAAGCGCGGCTGACAGTGGTGAAATAGAGAGCCCTAGGTTGGTGCAGGAGGCATGTCAAGCATAGGTAGCGGGTTGGGTGGTGGTGGGGTGGGGGGTAAGCAGGTCGGAGAGGTACGGAGGTGCAATGTGGCGGAGGTGGAGGAAGGCGGTCCTGGTCAGGGACCGGATGTGGGGAAGGAAGGACAGCCGGCGGTCACTGGTTGGGTAAGTCTGAGGGATAGGCCGGGGAGGTTGAGGGAGTCAGAGCCGCAGGATGGAACGCGTTGACGGGAGCCAATGGGTAGGGCTGCCGTCTTGCCAACATTTAGTTGTGGGAAGCCTTTTTGCTCACCTGACGTCAGCCAGACAAGCCGAGAGAACATCGGCAGATCTGGAGTCGCAGCTGGAGGAAAAGTAGATCTGGGTGTCATCCGCACACTTGTGGAAGGTGGCCTGTAGAGGATGAGGAAGAGAAGGTGGGGGGGTAACCAAGGATGGAGCCCTGAACTATACCACAGGTGACCTGTCGGTGGGGTGGGAGGAGAAATCGTTTGAAGAGATAAAGTGAGAGAGTGAGAGAGAGAGAGAGAGAGAAAGCGAGGAGGGCGGTGGGAGTAGCGCAGTGTGGGGAGCGGAAGGGGGAGTATTTTCAAGCGGGGGTGGTGGGGGCGGTGTGGTCGGTGTGTGGTGGAGGTTGGCTTGGGTCAGGGCGGGTCAGAGTTCAGCGTGACATAGTCAGGCCCACAAGCGTGGCGGGGGCCAGGGGAGACCGCACAGAGGAGAGAGAGAGAGAGAGAGAGAGAGAGAGAGAGAATGAAGATGGCGCTCATGGCTTTGTTTGGACCAAAGCCAGACAGAGAGAGAGAGATGTCGGTGAATGAGGAGGGGAGGGGAGGGGAGGCCGGCGGAAGGTTTGAGAACCAGCGGGTGGGAGTGAGGTCTGGGGTGGATTGGGTGGATCTTAGATTCCATGAGACAACAATATGTACAACTTGCATCTATACAGCACCCCTCACCCAGGGCGGAGTCCCAGAGAGCTCGGTACAAATGAATGAGAGAAAGGAGTTTTTTTTTCTACATATTATCCATATCTTCCAGCTGAATTGGTCCTTCACTTCATGCGGATCCCCGCTGCTCGCAACTTGGCTTCCTCGGTCCCCCACGCGGAGAGAGCAGTGGCGACAGACAGCTTTATCGATCTGTTCTTCCCTTTCGGAGTCGGTGAAGGCCGGCCTCATCTGATTTCCCCGACCACCCCATTCCCCAACCCCCAACCCCCGGCAAAACCTGCTTCGTTTCTCACACAACAGTTGCCGGCGGCAAGCGACCGCTCCTTTTGTTTCTGAGGAGAAAGACTAGAAAGCCCGCAAGCACGGAAGCAGGTCGTTCGGCCCGGCTTATCCGTCCCGGGGTTCATGCTCCACCCTTCCCCTTCCCCTTTCCTGCACCCCTCACCCAAAGTGCCTCGATCCCTTTCTCCCTCTCCGAGCGCATCGAGTTTCCTCTCGAGTCCGACGCCTTTCTTCCTTCAACCTCAGCCTCGGCCAGCGAGTGAGTTCCGCGTTCTCGCCGCGCTCTGCGTGAAGGGGTTCCCTCCTGAGCTCGCTCTTCGAGGCACTGTAGCTCAGTGGTTAGAGCACTCGCTTTGCAAGTGAGAGACCTGAGTTCAATTCCAGGCAGAGGGCGAAACCTTGGGCAAGTTTCCTTACTCCACACAGAGCCTAATAATAATCCCTCCAAAACCAAAAACAATAATAAATTGGTCATTCTCAATCTACGACTGTTTGTGGGACATTGCTGTGCGCAATTGGCTGCCGCGTTCGCCCACAGATATACAGTCAATTCACTTTACAGTGTGTTCTGTGAAGCGCTTTGGGACGTCCTCCCGACGTGAAAAGCGCTATATCAAAAAAAAATGCAAATGCACTGGCGGCTATCCTGCACTGATACCCCTCCTGCTGTAGGCTTCGGTAAACGAGTGGAAGCAGCCTGGTAATGACCTTCTCATTTAAAAAACGCTTTCCTCGCTCTTACCCGCACGGGCTGGGGCCGGTCAGACCTTAAGAGGGAACAACGTGAGCTGTGGGGTGGGCAGGGATCGTCTCGAGAGACGTTATCGCCTCCCGGGCTGGAGCAGAAGCTGTAATTACGAGCCGTCGTGAATTTTTACAGGTTGTGCTGAAAGACGGTAAAGATTCGCAGAAAGGCAGTAGAATTTTACTGCTTCGAGCGGTTATTGGCAGATTTTATTGCTTCGAGCGGTTATTGTTTTATTTAGGAGACACACGAGTTTGAGTTATCCATTCAATTTACATTTTTTTTGCACGGGCACGCGCGCGCGCGCACACACACACGCAAACACACCTCACACACACACCACACACACCCCACAAACACACACAACACACACACACACACACACACACCACACACACCCCACAAACACACACAACACACACACACCCACGCACACAGACAAACACACACACATGCGCGTACACACACACACACCCCACACATACACACACCACACACACACCCCACAAACATACACAACACACCCACCCCCCACACACACCCGAAAAAACCCACACAACACACACCCCACACACACACACACACACACATCCCACATACACACACGCGCGTACACACACCCCACACATACACACACCACACGCGCACAGACACACCACACGCACGGGTTTTCTTAGCCTCCAGTTACAGACAGTCGTCTTTGCTGAGTGTTTCAATCGGATTAAGGTGGGCTGCGTAAAGTGTTTCAGTCCGAGCTGTCCGCTCACCTTCCCTTTTCCAAGATGTTGTTGTTGTTGTTGTTGTTGTTGTTGTTGTTGCTCTCGGGTTTGTTTCAAAGCGCCTTGTATCACACGGCGTTAGATTGCGCTCCGAATATCGTCGCTCCTCGAAGTGGCCCTGTTATAAAGCCCCGGGGATCGCTCGTTTCATCCAAATGTACCCGGATAATGTTGGTGTAGTGATTTCCCTCTACCCTCTACCTCCTGCTCTGCTCGTCCCTCGCGCCACCCGCCCCACCATCGGTGGTCGCGCTTTCAGCCGCTGCCCCCCCCCCCCGAAACTCTGGAACGCTCTCCCTCAATCCCTCTGCCTTGCCCCCCCCCCTCTCTCCCCTTTTTCAAGTCCCGTCTGAAAAACCTTCCTCTTCGACCGTGCTTACCTCTCCACCTCCCTCCCTCTCCACCCCCACCCTCACTGGCTCGGAGTCAGGCTCCGCCACCGTGAAGCGCTCTGAGACGCTACCCTTCGTGGAGGGCGCCGTGCAAGTGCACGTTGCTGTTGCTGAAAGGGCAGAAGCTTCCAAGTAGCCGTGCGGAACATTAGCTTCGTACCAATCGCTTAAAAATATCAGGACACCCGGCAGTAACCCGCACAACTGGAACGCTCGTGTTGCCCTGCACAAGGTTGGTTCGGCTGAACAAATCCCTTCAGCCCATTTCATCTTTCCCTCCAGCGCACCAACCCACATTTGAAGAGATATTTTGGCGCTGTTCTGTCCTGAAATGTCTCTTTAAAGTTCTCTAAAATTCCCTATTTAAAGCCGTGACGGACGCATACTTCGGGCTGTTCAGTCGCGCCGCACATTTTCGCACAAAAAAATCCAAACAGGGCCAACCGTTGTGACAGGACTTTGAAGGTGTTCTGCCTGGAAAGCAGTTAATAATTCTCGACTGAAATGTCACCATTGCTTAGCACATTCCGCGGTCGATGCGATAATTGTCTGTCATGAAATGTGACAAGTTCCGCTGTGCTATTTCGACAAACTATTTCTGTTTGAATGCGGCCCTTTGGGTTATTCGGCCGTTGAAGTTACGGAGATAAAATATACTATAAATTATTATTATTATTATTACGTGTCAGGCTTGCAATTTAATAGTGTTGCTTGTTTTGTGCATAATTAATTGGTTTATATCAAACGGAACAATTTTTTTTTAATCCAATCTCCATAACTGTCTTGGTCAAGTATAGAAGCAGACCCAGCGCTGTGACGGGCCGGGGGGTCTGATATGGCAACTTAATGTGCTGTGAGCTACCTCAGCGACCCTCACAAAGAAAGCGTTCTGTGGCTCAGTGGTTAGAGCACTCGCTTTGCAAGTGAGAGACCTGAGTTCAATTCCAGGCAGAGGGCGAAACCTTGGGCAAGTTTCCTTACTCCACACAGAGCCTAATAATAATCCCTCCAAAACCCAAAACAATAATAAATTGGTCATTTTCAATCCACGACTGTTTGTGGGACATTGCTGTGCGCCATTGGCTGCCGCGTTCGCCCACAAATATATACAGTCAATTCACTTTACAGTGTGTTCTGTGAAGCGCTTTGGGACGTCCTCCCGACGTGAAAAGCGCTATATCAAATGCAAGGATTATTATTATTATTATTATTAAAGCGAATCGTTCCAAACATAATTCGGCAAAGGTAGCGTCCTCGTGATCTGACGACGTACCGTGTGTTTTTTTTTATATGGGTGGTAAAGGAGACGAGGGCCCCCCCCCCCCCCAAAAAAAAAAGTCAGCACGCGGTGTAAAATCGCGTGTAAAAGACACAAAGCTAATAACGCTGACTTTGAGACAAACGGCGCCCTCGCCCTAGTAATTGACAGGCACCCTCCCCAGGGTGTTGGCAGGCACTGTCGCACCCACAGTCGAATCCAAAAAGAATTAAACAAAAGTTTTGCTGAACACAGTCCGGTGAAGTCTGGGGGAGTGGATAATGGTTTTCCACAGCGCTTATTGAACTCGTAGCTGTCATTTGTCGGGAGAGAATGGATTGAGAATGGAGAGGATGGAGAGAATGAACTTGTGCTGAACGAACACTGAGGCTGAAGGGTGACGGTGAAGGCGTGAGGAGGGTGTGGGGGTTGCCGAGGTAGGGGGGTGGGGGCTGAGGGTGCGGGACGGATGGAGTCACCTTGCAGGGGGTGAGCAACAGCTGCCAGGTCGGCCTCAGTGATGGGAATAGATTTATTTTGCTGCCCGTCTGGTCCTTCATTCGTTCTCGCTCCGCAGTGGGAAGTCGGGGCGGGATTGGGGGCAGTTGGGGGGGGGGGAGGTTTGTGGGGGAAGGAGGTAAAGGTCTTGAGCTTTGAAGCTGACACACTCTCCACAGATACTGGGGACTGTCTGTCTCCCTTATAATAATAATAATAAATATATAATCCTTGCATTTGATGTAGCGCTCTTCACGTCTTCTCGACGTCTCAAAGCGCTTCACAGAACAGACTGTAAAGCGAATTGACCGTATATTTGTGGGCGAAACCCGGCAGCCAATTGCGCACAGCAGCGACTGTCCCACAAACAGCCGTGGATCGAAATGATCAATTTATTGGTTTTTTTTGTTTTTTGGAGGGATTATTATCAGGCGTGTGGAGTAAGGAAACTTGCCCACAACTCCCTTGGGAGAGAGAGAGAGAGAGAGAGAGAGACAGAGAGAGCGCGTGCTTGGCAACCGTTTCTGAGCCTCCTTTGCACGCCCGAAACACTGCAGCAGCACTTCCAGTGACACAGAAATGCTCTTTGCACCTGTCGCACGGGGCCATCGAGAAGGACCCGGACAGGACATGACAGGAGATGAGCACGAAGTGCTTCGCAGCAGGACATGAGAACACATCAGTGGCTTGCGTGTGTGTGTGCGCTCGTGTGTGTGCGCGCGCGTGTGTGTGTGTAAAAAAAAACAGCACACACGCTCACACATAACACTCACCTTCGTTAGGAGCGAGTAATGAACCGGTGAGCCTCACAAGGATAAACCGCACCATTCATTATGTCCCATCAAGGGACAAAAGGGGATAAAATGCACAACCGTTCTCTCTCTCCTCGTGGGTGTCTGACTCCTTTCGCCTGGAAGAAGCCCGGCCTTGGTTAATACCTCGGCCGAGGTTAGGTCGAGGAAATACATATCTGAAGTTTGGGTCATTTCCTCTCCAGGAGACTTGACGTACAACCACAGGCACAATGCGACTTTTATCAAAGTCGCGTCTTTTCCTTTTCTTTTCCTCTTTCTTGGGACGAGTTTCCAGGACTGTGTATCCCGCTGCCTGCGATTTCTAATTGATACAGTGCCCTTCCAGTGTTTCGGAGCTCTTAAACAGCGGCAGAGCTCGACACCGAAACCGGGGGAGAGAGGCGAGGCGAGGCGAGGCGAAGGCGGGCAAGGAGGGGGCAAAAGCGGAGGGGTTGATGCTAAGAATTCCTCTTTCACGGTGTCACCGAACGAAAGAGGCAACGGCCGTAAGCGCTGCCCTTCCTGACAATGTTAGTCGGATTGTTTTTATTAGGCACAAAGGGCAATGTTGACCCACCAGTGAGATTCCAGTGAGATAACGTTGGTGATTCGTGTTATGGCTGACCGTGGGATACAGCCTTATGTAAATTGGCTGACGTGTTTACTCACGAAATACACAGCCACTACGCTTTCCAGTAAATCCCGTGAAGCCCAGCACTGAGTTTTTTCCCCTCAAATCCAGGTGTTTCAACTTTAATTCCAGTTGACAGCACCGCACACTCTGGAAACATCTGAAAGTGCCGTTTGCCGCGGGCAGAATAAACTGTTCTCCTTGGGAACCTATCTACATTTACTTTCATTCAATCAAAGATGGAATGTTTCCGGGCAGAGCAAAACGATGTTACAAAAACAAAGGAAAAAACGCTCGGAGAAGCGTTTCGATTTGAATTTGGAGGTTATTTAAATTCATGGAAGTGAACCATGCAAATTGAAAAGGGGGCGAAAAAAAAAGGAATGGCAAAATATTGAAGTATGATTGAAAACGAATCGACAATTATTTACATTTATATAAACACCTTTCATGTCTCAAAGTGCTTTACGCAACTCGCTGGTGGGAGGGCGGGGGGTGGGGGGTGGGGGGAGAGTTGAGGAGGAGTGAAAGCGCAGTTAAAGAGAGAGTTTTTTCAGATGGGTTTTTAAGGCGGAAGGACTTTGCATAGAGATCCAAAGAACGGGGGCAGAACATCTGAAGGTTTGTTCACCGAACGCTGGGTCGGAGTGGGTGAGGGATGTTTTTTTTGCTGAGCTGCCAGGGCTACAACAACAACAACAAATTATATCGCGCCTTTCACGTCAGAAAGACGCCCCAAAGGCGTGGGAGGGTGTGTCGAGGCAGCAGTGTTACGCAACTCGACCGGAACCCCCAATACAGTGATCAATTTCATCACTATTCGGTCAGTCTGTCGCGGGGAAGTTGCAGATTTACTGTGGGGCAACGACACCATTGGAGGCGTTTTGAACTCAATCCCCCCGAGGAATGGGGAGCCAGTGGAGCTGAGCCTGGCTGGTGGCAATGGGCTTATGGGGGGTGGGGGTGGGGGGCTGGTGAGGACACAGGCTGCAGAGCTCTGGATAGTCTGCGGCTGGTCGAGGGAGGAACTGGCAAGTCCCGTAGGCAAACCTTTTTGAGCCTGAAGGCGAGGAAGGTTGCGGGCGATGACTCTCAGCCACCTGAAGGGGAGAGATAACGGCGGAGGTGGGCCATGGTTGCAGGGGCGAGGGAAAGCAAAGCGAGCGAGCGCCTAACAGCTGAAGGCACTGCCTGGAATAGCGCTTAGCATTTCTGTCCAAAATGTGGCAGGGCTCGAGTCCACAATCTGTGCCGAGTTAACGTGTCTCAGATGCACCTTGTGGATCACAGAGGAATAATCAATCCTAATTCCTAGCGCTGAGGTCTGAAATTCCACAAACCCGCGGCCTTTCGTGCAACAATTTTGCCTTCAAATTCGCCGTCAAGCAGAACGGTGGAAAATTGCTCAACCCAGCCTTCACGTGGAAGCCAGTTCTCTGTCATAACTCTTTCCAGGAACCAACCGAGACCAAGTGAAATGCGGGGCCTTTGACCACACCATCCGGAGAGCCTTCTGATCGCTCTTGCGTTGTGCAAATATCTTGCAATACGAGTAGACGTCTCTTTTCTTCGTGTGTGTTTGTGTGTACGGGGGATGGTTGGTGCAGTTGGCGACAAAAAGTGTGTCGACGGGCACCATCTGCTGGATATTTCGGGGCTTTGCATGAGAACAGATTTTCTGTTGACAGGTGATGCTGTGGAAACGCGATAAGTATCCGAATATTCATTGCAGCCACGTAAATAATGTTGATTTTAAAGATTCCCTCCCCTCACCCCCCACCCCCTCTACTCCCCCCGAGGACCGGACAATTAAAATTGTTGAATTTGCTTTGATTATGACGTTGACGGTAATAAGGTTGGAAGCAATTGATTAGTGGCGTGGGAATAGAGTTTAAACTGAGGCAGGTACTCCTCTGTTGACTGTGTTTTTTTATCGTATTTTCATGAATATCACTCGTTATGAATGTTTTCCGGGTCGTTGAACTCTCGGCGTAGGCTGAGAATCCAACACAGCGATGAGGCATTAAACCTCATCCAGTTTGCTCGTTCAGGCGGACACTAAAGATCCTGTTGGCCAAGATACTGCGAGAAAAAGAGAGAGGAGTTTCCGCTAGTATCCTGGTCAACAACCCCCCTTTCTTCCCCCTGCGCAGCACTTTCAGACGTCTCGCCGATGCGACGAGGCGCTGTTGTCCGAGGTAACGTCTTTTTTTTGGGGGGGTTTCGTTTTCAAATGCTATTTTTTTTTCTGTCTTTCTTTCAAATTTCAGGCCAAATGGCCGGAGACCACACTCGTCTCGAGTTCCACAACGTTGAAACGGGCATCGTGACCGAGAGGCGATACATGTCAAATGTCCCGTCCAACTTCATCGGCCACTTGCAGAGCCTGACGTTCAACGGCATGCCTTACATTGACCTGTGCAAAAACGGGGACATCGACTACTGCGAGCTTAACGCCAGGATCGGTGTCACCAAAATAATTGCTGATCCCGTGACCTTCAAGACAAAATCGAGCTACGTGGCGCTTTCCACGTTGCAAGCCTACACGTCCATGCATCTGTTCTTCCAGTTCAAGACCACGTCCGTCGACGGCCTGATACTCTTCAACAGCGGCGATGGCAGTGATTTTATTGTGATCGAACTGGTTAAAGGGTACGAGTCCTGTAGCTCAGTGGTTAGAGCACTCGCTTTGCGAGCGAGAGACCTGAGTTCAATTCCAGGCAGAGGGCGAAACCTTGGGCAAGTTTCCTTACTCCACACAGAGCCTAATAATAATCCCTCCAAAAAGACAAAAACAATAATAAATTGGTCATTTTCAATCTACGACTGTTTGTGGGACATTGCTGTGCGCAATTGGCTGCCGCGTTCGCCCACAAATATACAGTCAATTCACTTTACAGTGTGTTCTGTGAAGCGCTTTGGGACGTCCTCCCGACGTGAAAGCGCTATATCAAATGCAAGGATTATTATTATTATTATTATTACGACCCGATTTGTTTAGCTTGATTTCCACTCTCCCACACACCCCCCCACCCCACTGGCTCAAAACGATACGCCACATTTAAAGTTAAAAAGCCGCTTTCGAGCGTTTTCTTCCTGAAGTTTTAATACCATTTATTTATTTTTTCCGACTCCCCAAAGGAAAGCAACGGCTGGATTTTTTTCCCCCTTTGTAATGTCGTCGATATTCTGCGTGACTGTGGCGTTAAGATTGGCAGTACTTTTACCATATCTTTGGCAGAGTGTGTTTTTTTTCCGCAGAGTATATGCCAGAGTATTTTTTTCCTCTGGTCAAAATATTACGAGAGCAGGTTGACGTTTCTTGTTTCCATTTTGGGTGTCGGTCAGGCTAACACTAACGTGCTGCTGTTCTCTTCTCTTCTCCTGCCAGATACCTCCACTACGTGTTTGATTTAGGGACTGGCCCGTCCCTAATTAAAGGAAACTCTGACAAAACTCTGAATGACAATCAGTGGCACGACGTATTGATTTCAAGGGACACCAACAATCTGCACACGGTGAGGATCAACTCCAAAGTGAACACTCAGAATACAATTGGTGCCAAGAACCTGGATCTCAAAGGTACGGCTTGTTCTGTGGATTTTGACCATTTCTGAGTCTCCCGGTTCCGTGATCGAGATGTCTCCTATTTTGCTAAGGGCAAATTACAACTGTACATCTATACCCGACTGTGTTTGTGGCAACACGCGCTCCTATTCCTAGAATCCCAGCTCTTCGCAAGAGCTGCCCGATCAGTCCCACTCTCCTGCTCTACTCCCACGTCCTTGTAAAACAGAATCATGGAATACTTGATGCGCAAATCCACCTGCGCTGTGTTACTCCAGCTCCCTGGTTTGGTGCCACCGCGGTTATGAACTTTGTGTCACCAGCAAACTGCTCCCAGTCTCCCGCGCCCTTTCCCGACCAGATACAAATCCCGGCAATGACACCCTGAAGACGTGCGACTGAGCACTTTGGCCGATGTGCTGCCGTTCAGGGCGCGCGCACAGAAGTGGTGTGATCAGAATGCGGTGCTCTCTTCGGGACAAGAGTTTTCTGTGCCGACTTCCATCTCATCGCTGTAACAGTCACTATTCAGTATAGCCGTGGATTATAGAATTGAAGTACTTCTCCAGGAGAGGTAACAGACCACAGCGTCCTATCTCTCTTCGATGGAGATAGTTGACCACAAACTCTTCAAAGAAAATCATAAGGATCAGGATTGTGCCAATTATGGGAACGAAGGCAGGTAAATGGGACTGAGAGGATTTCTTCTCAAAATGAACGAGCACAGATACAATCGGCTGAACGCCCTTCTTATTATAATCCTTGCATTTGGTGCAGCGCCTTATCACGTCCTCGAGACGTCTCAAAGCGCTTCACAGGATATACTGTACCGTGAATGGACCTTGTCTATTTTGTGGACAAAACACGGCAGCCAATTGCGCACAGAAATTAAAACGAATTAATAAAAAGCCAACTTAACTGTGCTTATGGTTACCTCCCTTCTTTCCCACATGTCCTGTTCAGTGTCTGGTAACCATCGTTGTATGTCTCAGAGACATTACGTTACGCAAAGGGGGTTTTTATACACACAGGTTGTTGTTGGCTACTTCACAGCGCGAGGATAACTGCAGTCCAGTCCCGCGAATCCCACGTGTTTTCCAATTTATTGTGACAAAACACAGGAGAAAAACAAACATCCACAAATTTGGAACTAATTGTCATTCATTTGCAGGCAATGAATAAACTGGTCTCCCTCTCGCTATTTGTTTTGCTCCATTGAAAGCTAATCGCGTCTGCGGAAAATTGCCGTTTTCAGCGTAGAAATCAATGGAAACGTACAACCTTGACACAAAAGACAATTAAGCAACGTTCCCAGTTTTGAAACTGAAGGACTACATCCAGACCGTCCGCCGCCCAACGGCTTTCGTTGAGTTAATCGCCGTCATGCCTTTGAGGTCTTCACCAGAATATTCGCAAACCGGATTTTGAAGTGCAAATTGGGAGTCGGGGAAATTCCGCGTGTTTGGCTTGTGAAAATGGAAAGCTCTTCAGCTTTGCAGTGTTTGTAAAAGGGCGAATTAATTGCCTTTTCGAAAATAGCAATAATAACCCTTTGAGTTTGGTATCGCGTCGATTTCAAGATCCTCGCGCTCGTTTTCAAACCCCCTCACCTCCCGACCTATCCGACTTGCTCACCTCCAACCCCCCACGCCTGCTGGCCTCGGCCTCCTGTTTGTCCCTTGTCCCCTCCGCTCCACCATCGGCGGCCGTGCCTTCACCCACTGCCCCCCGAAACTCTGGAATCTTCTCCCTCAATCCCTCCGCCTCGCTCCCTCCCTTCCACACTTTCAAATCCCCCCTTTGGTCGTGCAAACAGTCACCTTTCCCATCCCTATCCCCCACCCCACAAGGCTCGTTGTCAGACTCCGCCACTGTCAAGCCCTCCGGGGCTCTACCCCACGTGAAGGGCTCTTTGTAAATGCAAGTTGTTGTTGTTGTCTGTCCTGTCGAGCTGACGTCTTCCAGCGTTTCATGGGATTTACCGTAAAGGGCAGCGTCTGTGCAGTTTGTTGTTGAACGTGGAAACGGAGGGGAACGGCCGAAGAGGGAAACAGCGCGATGATACAACACACTCACAGCTTGTTTGTCTTTGCTTTGAACGGCGAGCAGTTTTGACATCCAATGCGTGGATGGGTCTTCCGTCTTTATTCATTGATTCAATAATGAAATCCGTGCAAAACAATTGTAGCACAATTATAACCGAGGAGTCAATGGTTGTAAACGCTCACATCTGCCTGAAGTGTCTCAATACAATAGATAAGGCGGATGGGAGGGAGGTAGTTAGCAGAATGAATATGTTTCAGGTGGAGAGTTGTTGGCAATTGGAATGCTTTTACCACAAAAGTAGCTCATGAAATTCATTGAAAGGTGTCATTGAAAGGAGAATTGGATAAATATTCGAGGAGAAGCAATAAAATAAAAGGTTATAGAGAAAGAGCAGCGAATTGGAATTGAAGTAGATATTAGACAACTAAGAAATAATAATAATAATCCTTGCATTTGATATAGCGCTTTTCACGTCTTCTCGACGTCTCAAAGCGCTTCACAGAATATACTGTAAAGTGAATTGACTGTATATTTGTGGGTGAAACGCGGCAGCCAATTGCGCACAGCAGCGTCTCCGCAAACAGCAGTGGATTGAAAATGACCAATTTATTATTGTTTTTGGTTTTGGAGGGATTATTATTAGGCTCTGTGTGGAGTAAGGAAACTTGCCAAGGTTTCGCCCTCTGCCTGGAATTGAACCCAGGTGTCTCGCTTACAAGGCGAGTGCTCTAACCACTGAGCTCCAGGGCCACAGAATGGGTGTCAGCTTGGCTCAGTTATTGGCACTTTTGTCTCTGGAGGTAGGAGGTCATGGGTTCAATCCTAATGTCAGGACTTTGAGACACTGAGTGGACTGACCCTTCAGTGCTGGGGAGCGCTGTATAGTCATGGCTGTTTGTAGGGGCAATGAGGTGCGGAAAAATTGGCTGTTGCATTCGCCTACGAAACCCACTTTGCAGCATATCTATCTTGTGAAACAATCTTGGCCGTCCCCCGAACTCTGAAAGGTGCTTTACCAAAGGTAAGGATTATTTATGATTCACCCCTCATTAAATATAAAGTCACTGCACTTTACAAAACAAAGCCATATGAAGTGTTTGGAGGCATTATAGGCCCTCTACCGAATTCGCGGTTAATTATCCAAACACCAGTGTAGGCTCGATGAGGCAAAAGGACTCTTTGTTACTGTAATACTTAGGAGTGATGTAACTGTGTCCATGGTTTATCGCTTGTGAATGAGTTTTTTTTTTACTTTTCAACCTTATTTCAAGCGGTGAACTAAATATATCGTCTCACACGTAACAAAATCAACTGAGTTGGTTAGAGTAATACAACGTGTCAGGCAATGTGGGAGCTTAGTAATGCTACGGTTAGCGTGAATTCATGACTTGTGTTACGGCAAATAAATAGCGACGAGGAGTTACGGTTTTCAGCACCGCCAATGAATATTAAGTGAGCGAAATGAAATTTCTGTAAGGAGACGAAAAAGGCAATAATGACGGAGCGAAGGATTGCATTAGGAAAAAAAAATACACACAGGTTTCAGCAATGTTTGTTTTTAAAAAAAAAAGACATAAATAAATGGGTTGAAACGAGCGAAAAAGGAGAAGGGTAAAAAAAAAACCACTTGGGAAAATTGGATTAAAATAAAATTGAACCGTTGGTCTAAACCCTACAGGTTGCCGCACACTGAGCTAAATTGATGTTCTCCGATAGATTTTCACCAAAGTTGAGGGGTTAAAGCCTTAACACAACCCTCTCTTTGAAAGATAACAACGCGGCATTCAAATGCCGGCGCGTGGAAACACTTCAACCGGTTGATTGCGCTCGGGAGTCAGACGACTGTGGGCGCTATTGCAGAATAATAATGCCTTATGCTGAAAAGAAATGTTAATATTCTCCCAGGGGCATCGGGTAAATTCCGGTGCGAGGGTGATTTTCGCCTTGATAAATGCACCGTTTCATTCCGTCAAATGTTCCGAGGGCTTGGGCGATATTCCCTCCTTCTGCAGGCACACGTTTCAGTTTCACAGTGGAAATGAGATTCATTGCGCAATTCAACCGGAGTTCGAACACGTTGATCGATTCGACGTTTGGCCGAGCATTTGTGTGGAAGCCAAAGCTGATTGGACTGTCCACGGTTCTTTGAAGCTTGCAGATGTGGGTGTACGGCGGATAGACTTTAATCTACAGAGAGGGAGTGGAAGACTGGTTACTCTTAAAACGTTACTGTCTGTTGCTTTATGAATATGAGGCACTTCGTGATCTTTTCTCTGTTTTGACTCTCCTTCCTTCCTCCTTCGTTCCGCCCCTGTCTCACCCTCCTACAGCCCCTCCATCCCTTCCCCTATGCCTTCCTTCCCCCACCTCATCTCCACCCGTCCATTGCCCATCTTTTCCTTCCTCCCATTCCCCATATGCCCATCCCACATCGCACACCCCTCCCTCTGCACTATATTGTATCACGCCAGCGCCCAACACATGTGTCTAAATTACCCGATGTGGACACAGACCGCTGTTGAGTGAAGTTTCATGCGGAGGAGGAGAGGTGGGGGTGGGGGGGAACTGCTCCTCTGACACATTATTTGACGCGCTGAGTATCAAACGCACCTTTGGGGCGTTCTCCTGGCTCGAAAGGTGTTGTATCAAATGCAAGGGTTATTATTATCATTATTACTATTATTAGTAGTATTAGTATTATGAATAAAACAAAGTTATTGTGCAGTTTAATGATCACAGAGACGTAGCCACGATGCTTACAGGACTCATTGTGGGGTGTGTTGGCTGCTTCTTCCGCAGGAAACTTGTACATCGGGGGAGTTGCCAAAGACATGTATAAATCGTTACCGAAGCTGGTGGCGTCAAGGGAAGGATTTCAAGGCTGTTTGGCTTCCGTAGACCTGAATGGACGGCTCCCAGACCTCATTTCCGATGCCATGCACTGCAGTGGGCAAATTGAGCGGAATTGCGAAGGTAGGAAGCCTCTTAAAAATGCCCCGTTAAATGCACTCGATGGCAAATTAACCTTTTCGTTTTAAGAAAAAAAAATAGCAGAGACCAGTGACGTTTCTAACGACCGAGGCAAACTGTTCGGTTTCTCCTCACCCCTGTTGGGTTCAGCCGTTAGATCTCTGCTCCACATTCTTCGATCGAAATCGATATCTGTTTTAACAGCAAAAAAAACGAGGGAAACCCGAGACGCACCTTTCACACTAAAAAAATTAAATAAAAATTGGCAAGTTTAAAAAGATTCCGCCGTGCGGACAAATCTCTTCGTGATTCAGGTTTTACAGCGTCATATTTTCCGTACGTGGATTAGTTTTGGGGTTCAATTATTGCAGGGTTAGTGTCCGACTACGTCACAATCTGTTGCGATCGTGGTGGTTTGAACGATTTGTTGTTTGGTGTCTCGACACTCATCGCTGTTCAAATGACAGTTGTGGGGAGGATCAGAAGTCTTCAAAATTGATTTCGATTTCTTTTATCACGTTCCCGAGCGCGCAGGATAAACCCATGATTTACGAGGGCTTTCTTTTAAATCGCTGCGTATTCATTCTGCGAGCTACAAGTTGTCGAATTTGCTTTGTTTTGTTTTTTTGGCAGCCTATGTATGGCGCTAATAACACATTTTTGCCACAGACAAATGCAGTCCCGAGCATCTGGCAAGCAGTGAATAAGACGCCACTCATTTAATAGAGTTTCATTCTGACGCTTGTAATCTTTCTCAGAAGAACACAATCCAATTATCGCGAGCTAACTCATTATGTCAGGCTGGTTCCCTTTCGAGATTATCTTTACGCAGCACTTTAATTCCCGTTACCAGGCGCCGCGATCGACCCGAGGTTTCTTTGTGTTCTGTCTGATCACCGAGACGACTGGTAGTTCTCAAGAACAGCGTTACCTGAACTTCGTTCTACAACGCAGCGCAAGTTGAATTTGCAACGCAGTGGGATGGCGGATTAAAGAAGCCGTAGCAGAACGTGTTTCTAGGTCCTCACCCTCACGCGCGAATCCTTTCACGCCTTAGCAGCTCGCTACCTCTCTGACCCCCCCCCCCCCCCCCCACCGGCAGAATCTCAACCGACCGCTCAGTGTAACTCGGGGAACACTCGTAACTTTTCTTTTTCCGCACGAACCCAAAGGTTAAATTTTTCCATCGTTACCTTTTGACGTTATCAGCATTTAATGTTATGTTATGGGCATTGAGTTGATGTCGTGTACTTTTTTTTTTTTTTTTTTTGAACGATCCTTGTTATTTCACGATTTTAGTCGTTTCAGTTCTGTTGCTTCCTGTCCACTGCGTAACAACTCTTAGACGTTCTGCCTGATGTCACTTTGCACCTCGTATTCTGTTGCCTCCCGGCAGTTTCTTACTCCCGGGCAAAGGGAAAGATGTCTGCTTATTGCTGATGAACTTCGTCGAGCAGAAACGTTCCAACGTTGCATTTCCACGTTCAGACTTCATTAGAAAATGATTGCTGGCTGGTGATGGCACACGCAGGGCAATTAGCTTATCGTACTCCTCATTCAACCCGATGGCCAGAAGGCTCTTCTCCATCCCTCGAGTGCCTCATCCGATGATCGAATAATTTCTGTCGCAACTTCACAAACTCGCGCAGTAATTCCTCAATGTAATACAGCACAACTCGCCATCCTCAGCTAAGAGTGTTGCCCTTCGCACGCTAATAATCCTGGTATTTGCTCCAGCGCCTTATCACGTCACCGAGGCCCCTCAAAGCGCATCGCAGGATACGCTGGAAAGCGGAGTGACTGTTTTTGGTGGGCACAACGCGGCAGCCCGTTGCGCAAGGAAATGTCCCACAATCAACCCCGGGAGTGGAACGACCAATTTTATTTGTTGGCTCGGGAGGAAGCCTCGAAGCACTTAACAACAACAACTTGGATTTATATAGCGCCTTCCACGCCGGACGGCGTCTCAGAGCGCTTCACAGTCACGGATCCCNGGGGCCGAGCCGGGGGCTATAAAATGCTTTGGCGGTTTTGTTTCTGACTGTCCCAGCAGAGGTTTCTTTGCCTCTCCCTGTCTGATGTACAGCCTTGTGACATTGCCATGTCGCAGGTCACAAGGCTCACAGCGGTGGCGAAGGCAATGGCAAAATAATCATTGTTTTTTCACATGAGAGGAGGATATATTTGATTGACAATCACATCCAGTCGCAGAAATAGGAAGAGGGGACAGGAGCAGTTCTAGTGGAGCGAACAGCTAATTTTTTTGGTGGGGGGGGGGTTGGGGATATATAGCGTGTGTGTATATATATATATATACACATATGTTGTGTTTTTTTACAACTATGTAGGATTTATTTTTACAGTGTACCTTATCGTGGAGTCGTCTTGTATATTGCTTAAGGTGTTTAAAAAGATCGAAACGTTTTAGCTCGTTTCATTCCGGGGGCGAAAACAACAAAAAAAATTAAAACAGCAGATGCCTTAGGCGCACTGCAGTCTAAATCTCGATGGCAGAACGGAAGGAAATCTAATTGTCTTCAAGTTCATTCACCGCCTACCTGTCAGAGCTGAGATTGTTGGGAGGCTACAGGCTAAACCTTCGTCTCTTTGTGGTCAGCCAGGTGTCTGACACGTGCACAAGCCCACCACCGCGTGTGCAAACCGAACCGGCAAAGTATCGGAACGGAATGCACACTCTTTCCCCGGAGAGACCCATCCCGCTTGACAAAATCCGGGGAGCAGGTCGGGGAGGGGGGGGAGGAGTGGGGAGGTAATCAGTTTAATATCAACAGATTATTTACTTAACCACACTTAGAATGACTTTGTGTGCAGTTTTCGTCTCCTTATTTAAGGAAGGATGTATTGCCTTGGAGGGGGAGCAGCGTAGATTTATTCGGTTAGTACCAGGGATGAAGGGGATGAGTTACGAGGAGAGGCTGACAAATTTGGGCCTATATTCTCTAGAATATAGAAGAATTAGAGGGGATCTTATAGAAACCTATAAGACCATCAAAGGGCAATGATAGAGTAGATAGTGGGAGATTGTGTCCCCGGTTGGAGAAACTAAAACCAGGGGTCACAACCTTAAAATCAGAGGCCAACCCTTTCGCACTGAGTTGAGGAAGAACATCTTCACTCAAAGGGCAGTGAATGTATGGAACTCACTATCCCAAAGGGCTGTTGACACTCAGTCCTTGAACATATTCAAGACTGAGAGAGAGAGATTTCTTATTGCAAAGGGGATTAAGGGATACGGGGATAAGGCAGCGTCAGGTTATTAGCTGGAGTTAGATTAGAAGATCAGCCATGATTGAATGGCGGGGCAGGCTCGAGGGGCCGAATGGCCTCCTCCTGCTCCTACATGTTATGTTGTCATTACCAAAAATTGTTGCCCAACACCAGGAGATGGCAGAATAGATTCCAGGGCAAGTTTGAGACAAAGAACTCAGAGTTTAAACGCTGTAAATCTTGTGATAGGGCAATAAATCTCGTGACCCGGGGTTGATTCCAGAGGTAGGGTGAAACCTTAGACATATTCCTTTAGTCCACACCCCTCTGTTATCCTCGCAGTAAGTAGAAACCTGGTCGTTAGTCTTATTGGCAGATCGCTTTCCGGGGGGGGTACTAAACCCTCCAAAAAAAATTGGTCATTCAATCCACGACTGCTTGTGGGACACAGTTGTGCGCAATTGGCTGCCACATTTCGCGCATAAAATATATGGTCAATTCACTTTACAAAATATTCTGTGAAGCGCTTTTGAAACATCTCATCGGTGCGATAAGACGCTATATCAAATGTAGGGATTATTACTGTTATTAAGTTGTATCTGTCTGCTGTTAGGGATTCAACAAAAATGCAGCACCAAGCCAATGGATGACTCAGTGATACATTGACCTATTGACTCCCTCTAACACTTCAAAGCAAAATTAAATCCACATTTATCTTTGATCATCTTCGAGAGAGAGAGAGAGAGAGAGGGAGAAATCTCCATCTTACAAATTAAGACGAAACCTAAAAATTTTCCACATTACATGGTGGAGTCCTGTAGCTCAGGGGTTAGAGCGCTCGCCTCGCAAGCGAGAGACCTGGGTTCGATTCCCGGCAGGGGGCAAAACCTTGGGTAAGTTTCCTTCCTCCTCACGCCTGGTAATAATCCCTCAAAAAATCAAATAATAATTTGGTCACTCAATCCACGACTGTTTGTGGGGACGCTGCTGTGCGCAATTGGCTGTCGCGTTTCACCCACAACTGTACAGTCAATTCTCTTTGCAGTATCTTCTGTGACGCACTTTGATACGTCTAGAAGCCATGATAAGGCGCCACATCAAATCCGAGGATTACTCTTGTTATTACGTGAATAACGTCGACCAAAGCTGACTATTTATTGAACATATCTTTCTCGGGTGTCGAAATCCACTTTGAAGACTTTGTGATTCTTTTTTATTTACCTCGACGTCAAAAAATAAATAAGTAAAAGCTGATTCCCAAACAATCTCAGGAAGTCCAATTATTTTCCCGAAATGATTTTTCTTTTAATAAGCAACGGTTGACGAACATAGAGAGGGATTAATCTCTGCAACAAATTGAGAAGGAGATAATAAAATGTAGGTGTTGACCATACATTCTTTGTTATCCTTCATTCATCACGGTTAAGCTTTGCAACTTAATGCGGAAATCAAAAGGCATATCGGAGCGTTCAAGAGATCTTCGTAGCCTCTCCTTTCCATGTCCCCCGGGCCCATCTTCAGTTCTTTGCTCGCTGCCGACCACCACCGCTAAACTTTGCACGTTTTTCTTTCTTCCTGAGTGCGAGGGTCAATCTGCTGCACTGCTCGCGGTTTTGGTTTGACGGTGTCCGCGCGAAGGACTTTTGACTTCCGCAAAGCACCGTTCCAGCTTTCGCACCTTTAGCGACTGGCTCCGAACCTTCGTACGCTGTTCCATAAGCTGCAGCTCGCCGTGGCCGAGCTCCGGCAGCGGCATCCCGAGGCTTTGCTCCGATTCCTCACTTCGAGCAAGTCTTGCCAAATGCTCCGAGGGAGACGAGTCCTGTGCGCTAAAGACTCCCGTCAGTGCAGGCTTGCTTCACGTCCCCCGCCCCACCATTGGCGGGCGGGCCTTCAGCCTCTCTTCCTCCACCCTCTGGAACTCCATCCCGCAGTCCCTCGGCCTCGCGCTCACCCCCTCCGCCCCCATCGCCTCCTTCAAGGCTCGTCTCAAGACCCTCTTCTTCGACGGTGCCTTCGGTCACCCTCCTACCCCTTACCCTCCCCGCCCTCCACCCCTCCTGATCCCAACCACCAGCTCGGGTGCGTATCTCTGACTGTCCAGCGCCTTGGGACGTCCTCTTGGCACGAAAGACGCTGTTGCAAATGTAACTTGCTGATGCTGATGCAAGGCCAAAGCCTGGTCAGGTGGTAAACAGCAACCGAAACTATGTCCGAAAAAGGACAAACAGTGAACAAGTAAAAAAAAAACTTCCTTGAGGAGTAAGGATGCATTTGAATCTATCTTTCACATCAGTGCCAAAGGCCACACCCTCGCCAGTCGCCGACATAATGCTCTGCATTCGTACCCTGGATTGCGGTCCCCCCCTGTGTTGAAGCAAAGAGCCACAGCTGCAGAAGATGCAGCTTCAATATCAATATGAATTGTCCCTTGATGAATCCATTTCAATGCCACTTATGTGATGCGAGCTTTCAAAGGCCGGCTATCAACCCCTCATCCCCTCATCTCACCGAGCCCCGTTGCTTGAATCGATCCGCAAAGACCCCAGCACCGAGTAGTCAACCAGAGGCAAACTTCCGTCATCCAATAAAAGAAACCAGACGTACCTTCTTTGAACCCCTCCATCACTTTGTTTGCTGTGTGGCCGTCCATTTCTCTCTTGAGTTGACCAACGCTTGTTTTCAATTGGCTATAAAGAACTGAAGATGTCAATTTCTGGGAGCACATGAAAAAGGGGGGATGTGTGTGTTGGGGGGCTGCACAGAGACCCCTTGATAGGGCAGGTGTTTATTTTCCTTTGCCTATCCGTGTGTTGGCAATGTGGAGCATAAGTTAATTTGAAAACGAGCCATGCTTTGCCTTAAGGTAGGTAAGGGTTGTCGAGCTTCTTTATTTCGAGTTCACGTTCATTAGAGCACCATGACGAGATGTGCCATTCTTACTGCCGCGAAACCTGTAATAATGACTGCTTATATTCTTTCTGGCTGTTTCATAGCTGATAGCAAGCCGCTATCATGACATTGCTTGTGATCGCATCTCTCTCTCTTTCTCTCTCTCTCTCTCTCTCTCTTTTAGCAGCATGTTTGCTCTTTGAATGTTTGCAATGTTTGCTAACGTTTCACAACTGCTTACTAACCTTTTATACATTTTGCTTTTATTTTGCTGGCAAAGTTGCATTGATGAAAGCTGACTTGCAAGGTAGATAGCTGTGTATATGTACCAACCAAGACTGAAAACCATGTCTGTGCAATACATATACCAATGGCGTCCGACTGCTTTTGAAGCCGGTGGCGTTTAAAAAAAAAAATCACGATTTCAAAACCGCTGACCCGTTTCCAACGAGTCCTTTACCCCTTACTCCAGTATTGCTTATCAATGGGCTTTCAGTCTTGCAAGATCTTTATTTATTACCATTGACTTCAGTCTGTTTGGATGCATTTGTTTTCGCACTATCTTTTCCTTCGATTCTGGTCCACACTAGTTCTGTCGCCTGTTTTTTTTTAATATATATATATCTATATCTATATATTTATCTAGAAATGTTTTAGAGATGTGAAACTTCTTCCCTCTACTCTTGAGGTCCAACTTAAGCATGTTCACCATCACCCTGTTGAGTTCTCAAACGACAGAAAGCATGCCAAAAAATACCTAATGTCTGTAAACGCACCATCGATCTGGCCAGGCCAAAATGCAAGTTTTTTTTTGTGTGTGTTCTGACCCAGGACCCAGCACCACCTGCCAGGAAGACTCATGCGGAAACCAAGGAGTTTGCCTGCAACAGTGGGATGGCTTCACCTGTGACTGCAGTATGACCTCCTACAGCGGCTCCCTGTGCAACGACCGTGAGTGCAAAAAAAAAACTTACCCTTTTCCAGAGGGGTGTGTGGGTGGTGGGAGGGGGGTGGGGGGGGGAAGAAAAGAAATGAAGTGACTTAAAAAAAGGCCGAGGGATTTGAGCGATCATTTCAAATGAGGATGTTTGCGTTTGCCGGAGAGAAAAAAAACGTGCGGGGTTTATTAAAGGAAGGACAAAAAGTACTGCGCCCTGAGGTACAGTCGCGGGCGTAGCTTCGCACGTCCGTTGCGTTTCCTCCGAGGAGGGAAAGCTGGCGAAGTTTCAGCGCCTGGAGGGTTGCCAGCGCAGCAGCACATTGCTGAACAGCGATACAAGGTGGTGCTCTGTTTCTGAGCGGTGCGGTGTTTTCTTTCGATTTGGTGTGAAGCCTTCGGCGAAGCGTGCGTCTGGGTCGCATTTTAACGCGAGACTTGTTAAATGAGAAGCAAGTGACGGAGGCGAGGAGCGATGTTTTAATGCAGGTAGCTTTGGCGGAGTGCGCCCGAGTGTTAAACGCTGAGCACTGGGAATGGTGCCTGGTGTCGGGTCAATTTTCCCTCATAGTTGATGCCACAACAAACCTCTCGAAACCATTGTTGGTTCAGCCACTGTTCCTGAACCTCCTTCTAGTGCTTAACACTCGACTCTTCCCGCGTTCCCATTTAGCCACCTTACAGGCTTTAGATAACGACATGAGTTTATCCCCTTTCCTTTACAATCCAATACACGAGTCCATTTATTTGGGGGCTTTCGCGTCAACAGGATGTCCCGAGGCCCTGGACAGTCAGGGATTTGTACCTGAGTTTGGAGTGGTGGTGGGGGGGGGGGGCGGGGGTGGGTGGCGGTGTTGGGTGGGTGGAGGGCATAGAGTTTAGGTGGGAGGAATCTTGAGATGTGCCTTGAAGGAGGAAGGGAGGAAGCCAGGCAAAGGGAATGTAGGATGGAGTCCCAAAGGGTGGGGGCAGAGAGGCTGAAGGCCCGAGCGCCGATGGTGGGGTGGGGGATGTGGAGGAAACCGGAACCTGCTGAGCAGAGTGAGCGATCAGGTTAAGATGTGGTCAGCAGGTCTCAGAGGTAGGAAGGGACAAGGCAAAGGAGCCTTGGCCTTCATTCCAATCCCTACAAACTGTACATTCGTAGATAATTATAAGTTACTGCAATGGTATCTCAAGATCTTCACAAGTTTTGTTGAGGCATTGGTTCGAGGTCATGGACAGCTCGTGTGAAATGACCAAATGATATGGATGCAAGATTCTCCTTCGTTAATAGTATTGTATTTCACCCCGATCAGGACTACTCGTTTGCCAAAACATTTTGGCGCTGTGCATAAATAATACGGGGAAGTTGTCGCAATCTCAGAGAGCATTGCAAGCCAGCGACTCAAATATAGGGTTCGGAGGAAGGCTGGCATTCAACTCTTGCACAAGCTGTAGCTAATGAGACAGTGTGCGCAAGCTCTCGAGGAAGGTTCCTACTCTTTGGGTCTTAGGGAGGACATTAAAGAGGGTGATCGGTGCGGAGAGAAGGGCATGGAGGATTCCTGTGCTCAAACTGGGCAGGGCATTTTGATTAAAAGATCTGCCAAGATTTAACACACCGGTGTCTTTAAATCCCTCCTTTACGGTGCAATGAGGAGTGGTGCGATGTAAACAAAAGTTGTACACGCGTAAAATAATAAGGTGCCGCGAGTAATTAGTGAGTTGGATGGCGGAGAGTGGGGAAATCTTTCCATCCGGTGAACAGTCCAGTTCTGGCTGACGTGAATGAGATGAGTGGTTTGTTTTTTATTTCATGAGAGCTGGAGGCGATGTGCGCGAAGAAATTAAAGTTTCTTTTTGGTGTGATTGATTGCTATCGGTGTGAAGGTAAGTGCCGCGTAACACTCGACCACAATTGTCTGTCGATTAACACTTGCCATGAAGAGATGGGCAACAGATAACCGGCAATCGGATTGAATTGCTCCCAATTATGATGACTTACTTCACGACGGTGATCAACTCCCCTCTCTCCTCTGCGCGGAAACGTCAGAGAATTATCGCGTTTCTCTTCTGCTGATTATTTTCGGTGGGGTTTGGCGGGTTGAGTCACTGTATCGCGACGTCTTGTTCGGCGATACTGAAGGAGCAGGTGATTGTGAGCGATTCACATCCCGCTCGAGCGCGAGGCAAAGCTGTGTGACTGACGCTAATCCCGAAGTGCAACGGCATTAATCAGAAATGCCAAATGGCTTTTGTTTCCCGAGCTGCAGGACGCAATGTGCGTGTGTGTGTGTGTGCGCGTGGAAAAAAAAACGAGAGAGAGAGCCTTTTAAAAGAAAACCTATGTCCAGCAGATGGTGCTGCCCTCATTCAGTCACCAGCCCTTGACGGCATTTCATCCATTTTACAACAGAACCTTTCCGTGACAGACCACATTTCCGCCTCCCTCGCCCTGATGGCGAACACCTTTTTTTTTTTTTTTTTCTTTCCCACCCCTCCACCCTCGCCTGCGTTTTTCATTCGAGAGATAGGAGTCCTGTAGCTCGGTGGTTAGAGCACTCGCCTCGCAAGCGAGACGTCAATTCCCGGCAGGGGGCGAAACCTTGGGCAAGTTTCCTTGCTCCACGCGGAGCCTAATAATAGTCCCTCCGAAAAAAACGAAACAATAATAAATCGGTCATTTTCAACCCACGGCTGTTTGTGGGGGACAGACGCTGTGCTGTGCGCAATTGGCTGCCGCGTTCGCCCACAAATATACGGTCAATTCGCTTTACAGTCTATTCTGTGAAGCGCTTTGGGACGTCTCGAAGGCGTGAAAAGCACTATATCAAATGCAAGGATTATTATTATTGGATAACCCCGAAGTCCAAAGCCGCACCTTTTTTTTCGGTGTTATTTCGGCAGCAAAGAAAATCGTCGTGAGGCTCTCTCTCTCTCTCATCTGTCACCTGCTTCCAAACGAAGGGAAAGTGCGGGCGCGATGGGTTTCGCGCTTTCCTGACGCCAAAGACCTCGGCGTTGCGGGGGTTGAGGAGAGCTCCGGGACTTGGTGCTTGGAGCTGGAGGATTACGGTTGACTGCGGAATCCAGGTCTCAGCCTCTCCCCCCCCCCACCACCCACCACCTCCCCACCAGCCCCTCGGAGAGACCCGAGCCAAGGCCAGCCGTGTGCCCACGAACGAGACTCGAGCCCGGAGATGGTGGCGGGGGGGCTCAGAGGCAGGACACAGCTCCCGGCAACCCATCCCGCAATAAAAAAAAGCAGCAGCAGGAGAGCAAGGCGGAGAGCTTACCTTGCAGACCGTGCTGTGGAGGACAGAAAATATCTGTGCCAACTCGAACTAAAGGGGGTGAAATTCTTCCAGTCGGTAAAATTACCGACCGGGCACAGTGTCCCCTCGCAATGAAGGAAATTCCGCTCTCTTTTAAGTGCAAGGTCGAGCCAGTAACTTCACCAACCGGTGGGGGGGTGGGGGGGCAGGTCCTGGTCTTTACAAGTATCTCTTACTGCGGTTACAATCGGAGGCTCGGTTTAATAAAAGGCAGCAGCCCCCTCGCGGGAATTGCAGACACCACAGCCAGGCTTCTGAAATGAATGCTTCTCCGTACCCATTAACTAATTGATAATAATTTGAAGGTTTGTCACAAGCCATTACGCCGGCCGATTGCGGATAAGTGCCACAAGAGTCAACATTTCGGCGGCGCAATATTTGTGTTTTATTATTTTAATTTCCTGACCAGCGTCGGAGCTTCTGATCCGGGTAAAGGAAATCACGCGGGCCCGTTAACATTGAATGTGATTTTTGTCCTCAATTTGGAGGCTCGTTGGCTGTTGGGCATCATTTACCAAAATATATTGGTATGTCGGGGCTGTCTTTTAAATCGTTTTTAACTATTTTTTGTTTTTTGGTCGACTGGCTACCTTTCGATACCTTGAACGCACATCACGGATTTTAAATCCCCTCTTGTTCCTCAGTCTTGATTCTATCGTTTCCGACGAGAAATCCTCTCTTCCCCCCCCAAAAAAAAACACTCTGCCGTACCTCTTCCCTCGTTGCTTTCAAATCCCAACCCGAAGAACCTAGGTTCGCGTCAAAATTATTTGGGAGCACGTTCGGACCGTCACCTCTTTGACCGTGCTTTTGACCACCTCCCGAACCACCCCCCCGCCACCTCCACCCCTTCCCTCCATATATACTTCAACAAAACTGGTTTGAAGAAGTAATCAATTATGGGCCAGTTCTGTTGCTGTAAAAGTGACGTTGCCCCGACTCAAAACCCTCCTCTTCGACCACGCCTTCGGCCATCCTCCTTCCCCATTCGGCCCGTACCGTGTCTGTTGTGCTGGTTCTTTGAAATTAACTATCTAAATCAATCCCATTCCCCGGCTCCCTCCCCATCGCCCTGCAAAAACCTGCCCTCCCCACATGATTCACTTCATTCCAATGAGGTGGCAATCAAAGGCTGGCTCCGTGTTCAGGGCGGTGGCGGAGCTTGAAGCCGAGCCAGGCAGATGAGGCACGGGTCGAGGAGGAAGGTGTTCAGACGCAATCCGAAGATGGGCAAGGTGGAGGGATTGAGGCAGATCATTCTCAGAACCTCGGGGCACAGTGGCCGAAAGCACATCTGCCAATGGTGGAGCGGAGGGGAGCAAAGCCGGCAGGGATGGTTCACCCACACAGGCGGTGTTTAATCATACACGGGGAACAAGAATAATTCTCAGATCACTTCTGAAATGCTGCATTTTCACCAGCGTGTGGTTGTAAAGTTCGAAAAGAATTTTTCACACTGACCTCCTGATTCACCACCCCACCAACAGCAGGTCGTGGTTTTAACAGAACAACCTTGGCCGTCAGATTGTTTTAACGGCTGCCGTATTAACTCGCCGAACAGACCAAAATCACTGCACGTTAGCATCTCGCCAGTCAAACAGCTTGTTTCGGGACCTCTGTGCACTTGGTTGTTCTGAGCAGTCAGTCAGTAGTCAGTCAGTCAGTCAGACAGTTCCACCAACTTTGCTTGTCAAATT